TTGTTGTTGTTGTTGTTGTTGTTGTTGTTGTTGTTGTTGTTGTTGTTGTTGTTGTTGTTGTTGTTGTTGTTGTTGTTACTGACGAAAGCATGTGACTCGTCGGCATGATGTGGTGTAGGAGGGAATGGGACAAAACTGTAGTTTTTGATTAAAATTTCGATTTCCTGGTAATGCTTCTGTATGAAGTAATATTCAAAAATCACCATATCATTTTCACCAAGGAAGGTTTGATCTTCACCGAACTTCTCATTGGTTTTCTGGATAATGTAAAAAAAAACGTCAAGACCTGTATTGCTTGCCCAGGATATACCGTTGTTGTCCGTCCCGCGGTCAGCATCGTACTCCCGTCGGAGGGCAATGAGCTTGGGGTCCTCTTTTCCGTAAGAATTTTTTAGCTTTTGAGAAAAGTAGCGGCTAAGGTGAACTCCTTGTTCGAAGAGGGACATGATGACCTTAATGTTCTCGCCTCTTTTTACGGCATGAAAAAGGGCGTGTGTTCCATTTTGGTGGATCAACCACTCGGCTTTTGTGGATGGGAGGTTCACCTGATTGTTCCAAGCTCGCGAGCACTTAGCAAGTTGGCATGGGTCTTCTATCTGGACAATAATTCTTCTTTTAACTTTCCATTGCAGGTTGTCTAAAGAAAACCTGGTCCTATCATTTTCTGCATTACGTTGCGTAATGTGCGCGGAATGTTCAGTTAATTCCATGTTGAATGTCTGAGAACTTTGGGGGCATTACAATTTATAAGTGATGTTGAAGAGGTAATACAAGCTGACGTTATTTGTCTCATTTAAATAGTAATAATAGAAACATTCATCTTTATTAATAATGGTAGTATATTTTATTATGTATATATTCTTTTTTCTGTTTAATCTCTTTAGGTTTTTTGTCATCCCATTATGTGGCGCAAGGTATGTCTACATAGACATACCGCACCGCATATCTAAGAGTAATAGTAATAGCATCAATTTTTATTGTAAAGGTGGAAATGTGGATTTTGGCAAGATCTACAAAACTGATTGCATTCAGTTTTGATAAATGTTATAAATTATTTATTTTTTCTAAGAAGTATATTATAGGTGCGACTATCGAATGTCTATATTTGGACTTGTTGTTACTCTCCCAAAGTATTTTAAACTTTTGGGATGCTGCGCACATAATTTATCTGTTCTTTGGGGATGTGTTGAGTATTTATCACTTTGATTTAATTAATACTTTTTTTATTTACATCTACGTCATTAAATCTCAGAATACTGAACAATTGAATTGAATAGGACGCGATGAGATCTTAACAAGGATCGTGCAACATTTAGTCAGCAAAATTAAAAATTCACCTAAATTATTAAATGAACAAAAGGATCCGTCGGACGTCTTTTTTTTTTTACGTTAATCTGAAACTTAATCCATCTCAACAACTAGGAAATGGATAATATTACGTCATATTGAGTCAACTCAGCTGCAAGCACACATTGACTGCCTGATAGAAAATGCCCTTCTCCCAGATAAGTAAAACAAGAGGTTCAAGCCTCGATAATAGCGTGCGTTTGTTTGCAGTCAATACAAGATTGTAAACGACAGTTATCACAGGCAGATTACTGTTAGCAGTGGTGGTGCTCTCTTGTTCATCATCATCATCATTATTGTTATTGTTATTTATTATACAGTATATTTATTATTTGTTTGCATCCAGTTTTTTATGCATAAGTTGTACACAAACGATTACTAAAAATATTTACAGCGGGAAGGTTTCAATAGTCGCTACCTGAATGATTTTATACGGAAATGCTTTCACTCAAATTAACAAGATAATAAAAACTAGATATCGATTCGCCAAGGAACTGATGTTATATATCAGTTTTTATTCAAATGATTGCCTGGAAAATTTTATGATAATCCGAGATTGACATAAGCTTGATTTTTTGTTTGTCACTCAACGATATGCGTTTATCCCACAATGAACACAAAAACGAGAGTCAAAACGCACCTGGTTAACTATGGATAGAAATTTCAAACAGCAATCTACAAAAGATGGGCGCCAAACCCTGAAGAGCATATTGATAAGGTTTTTTTCTCTTTCTACAAAGAATTTCCAACCGTTGGGGGTTGGGGTTAGGGTTTACTTGCGATTCTGCAAGTTAGGGGGTCGGAGCATCATTCATTATTCGGCCTAATCCAGCCAAGGTGTACTGTATGACAAAAGCTAATCCTTTTTGTGCTACGGGGGTCATTACGCCTCGATTCCCCTGTTTGGCTTAATGGCGTAATGAAGCTTTTTTTTTTCCGCCAAAGTTGTAGCACGCAATAATAACGTTATCAATCAACGACATTTGGAAATATGAAAATTTGAGCAATAGTGGTTCCGTTTTACATCTAACAAGCAAAAATACTCTATTCATTTATTTATCCAATCCCGTCCCACTATTCATAACGTCACCTATTCATAACGTCGCGTTCTCATCCATCATTTCTTTTTATATATATTATCCAACAGTGATTTCATATCTGCCCTCATTCATCACTCTGTCAATCTCTTGTTTGTCGTCTATTCCGGGTTTTGTGTTGTGTTTGGAAACCCATTAATTAAATTATCGAAACCTTTTAATTGTCCGGATACCGCGTGATAAACTGCATTCTGAGGCGTAACGGGCGATGAATTTGGAGTCGAAGAAACAGTCGAAGGAACAGTTGAAGGGACAGTTGAAGGGACAGTCCATCCATGACAAAGCTGATTTTGAGGAATATTGAGAGTAAGATTCGAAACATTTCGTCGCGATGATGGGGAGATCAATGGCTGCGATGTCATGTAGGTTGCCATTGGCGGTTGCGGTATCACGTACGATGGTGTTTGAGAGGATAAATTCGTCGGATGCTGCGTCGTCGAGAAGGGTGGATTTGTTATCGCGTATTGCGATGGCGTTCGAGGAACTGTAAATGGTGACGGAGAGACAGTTTGCCGTGTCGCCGCGTATGGGGGTACGCGCAATGGAAATGTAATGGGCCGCCGCGTCGGGCACGGTAGTCCCTGAGGTGGAATCTGCTGTAGCATCATATGTGATGGTACATTAGAAGACAGGTTCGGTCGTGTCGCCGGCGTGTATGAAGACATCTGAGAAGGTAAAACCATCGATCCCGGTGTCGGATATGGTAGTTTACGAGAAGGCGTTGTCGATGGTTGCGTTGGCTTTTGGGATGGGTTTATGGAAAATTGTGAAAATATCGGACGGTTGTTTAACTGTGAATTATTTTGGATATTATAGGTTTGATTTACAAACAATTGCGGAGCCGCGACAGCTGTCTCGCGAGGTCGATTTGGTGGTCCTCTTGAGCTTTCTTCATACTGGTAGACTCCCGTATTAAAATCCATAATACCCATCGTAATACCGGTATTTTCCGCAACATTCGATTGTTCCACAACACTCGCATTATCCGTGTTATCCACAGTGTCCATATTGTTCTCAATATCCCTGTTTTCAACAATGTTCATATTTTCCGCATTGCCCAAACTCCCCATATCCATGCCCACCCTATTATTCATGTTATTCATGTGCACCGTGTTATGCATGTCCCTTATAATGTCATTATTTCCCGTATCATCCCTATTTGTTATATTATCCTCGTCCCTTCTACCATTCTCATCTCCTACATTCTCCGCATTTCCCGTCTCACTTCTCGTATTATTTCCCCCAACTTGTTTACTTCTATTGTCTTTCTCGCACTCGTATCCCAAGTCTATTTCCTTTGTATCGCAATCTTCCATACTATAAGTAGTGTCATACTCTGCGCATTCCCTCGAATTGATTTTGTCACATGAATTGTATACCAAATCATCGATTGGCAATTCACTCTTGATAATTCCATTATCGTCGCTATCTGCCATCCGCTTCTTGAGACGCATGCATTTCTCTGGATTTATGTCTTTGAAATCTGTTATTATGTATTTTAATGAAGACAAATCCGCGGCATCTTCGTTTATATCATCTGTCGCCTGCTTCTCGAGATGATCGTTAATGAATTCATCATCTATTTCTTTCTTGATATTCACAACCATTATATCATCTATACTCTGCTCTCGAGTATCGCAAATTATAACATCATTATCCTCGTCAATCTCGACAACGTCCTCCAATGCCGTTTTGACCTTGGCAGTCATTTCAGAAGTTTTATCAGTGTCCTGAGTTTTGATTCTCTTTACTGGATCCTCATCCATCATGTCGATGGATTCACGTCCCTCTTCATATTTTCTCTTTTTCTCCAACTTTTTCTTTTCCATCCTTTCGTCAAGTTCCTCGTCTTTTCGTTCTCTCTCTTTCTTTGCCTCCTTACAAACTCTGCTCACACTCGTCTTGTGCGATTGGATGATCATTTTTTCTATTGCGATGGTTTCTTTTAGGTAACGAATTCGGAGCTTTTCGTATTGCGAGCGTTGGTTAATGCGAAGAAGAGCATATTGTTTAGTCCAGACGTCGTAGATTGCTTCCATCGTCGGAGAACTATAACCGATATGAGAGTAGCGACATTGTGGGGAACTCTGAGAAGAAGCGTGTTCGGAAGATATTTCAGAAGAAGAAGACCGAGTGTGAATATATTCGCCCTGTGATTGACGGTCTTGTTGGGTTTCCGGCAATGACTGATTAAGACTTTGGTTTCCGGTACTACCAACAATTTCAATGGCCTGAGCTTCGAAGTCGTCATCATCATCAATTTCCATATCGACTACCGCGTCGTAGTCGTTTTCGTCCTCGATCAAATCATCCCGTCTATTTCTATCGTTATCCAGTTGATGTCCACCTCCCTCATCACCAGTTTTATCATTGTGTCCTTCGCAAACGCTTTTTATTTTTATCTCATTTTTTATTCCACAGACATAGTCATCGTCGAAACTGCTTATTATCTCCTCCCTTAATGCCAACAACTGTGACGTGTGCCTTCTAGACATGCTGAGGAGATTTTCCGTGTGTGTCTGTAGTAAAAACTCTTGACGTTTTCTGTTATAAGTTTCGAAAGTGTCATGTTCCGGCGGTCCGAGAATGGAAGCGGAAGTAGGAGGATACTCGAGGAGAAGATCCCAAAAGAGTTGAGTCATTTCTTGGGTGACGAATGAGGTAAAGAAATGGGCGAGATGGAATGGTGAACAACCAATGGAGAATGCAAGAGTTGCGCTCTGTAGTCAAGGGACGAGATAAAGTGGAACAAGAGTAGAACAATAATCACGTTGCCAAGTGGAAAAACAATTGACGCGTTGCCCTCTTCCAAACGGACGGTTGTCAGAATCATCGAGAGATAATCATCTGATATGCTGTGCCAAGTTACACTTGCCCTTCACAATCATTGTCGATGGAAACAGTCATAAAGATACAGTATCTTGCATAAAAATCATGCCAAAATCACAGCAAGAGGATATGAACAGCAGTTGTGCTAAAGTAACACGCATCTCTATTTATACAGACAGTGTCGTATTCAATTGGAATACTTATAAGAGATTGCAGAACGTGGGCTCGCACCTATTGTGACCCATAATAACCTTATCATGAATGACATTGCCTGCTATCATATGCTTGGCGTGTAAAAAAGATAACTGTTCAGAAAGTCCATACAGAACAAGGGCACAGATTAACAACGGGCTGAAATTCTTTCCGAAAATAAATATATGTTTTACCAGGTCAGTCGAATTAAACACATCTCCTTTACACAGTATAGTACTTTTGTACCCTAAGCGAAACAACACATTGAAACAACACATTGAAACAACACACACATTCGATAATAACGAATGAGAAGATAAATAGAGACTGATGTCGCTTTGACCCCAAATCTTAATTTGTAATCTACCTGATATATGTATTGCTTGCGACTGTCTTATATGGAACGATGCACTATTACCCCAACTTCGCTGATAGAATTAGAATTCTTGACGAGCAATAAACTACTCTTGTAGTTTACAAACCACTGTGTACAGAAGCTTGACGGTCTACATCGCCCAAGCGTTACAACATCCCAATACTGACTCACATTCCAGTATAACTACCTCTCATGGTCAAGTGATTCTGCTGAATTCGAGAAGAGTTTATCTCCCTAAGTTGTACTTGGAATTTTATAACGGAGCACATGACCATTTAATCGAATACTATTTTCAGATATTATAACTTTGTGAAGAATATTCACCAAGTTGTTGTAGAATTTACTTGATATACCTGAAAACGTGACCATTCTGATTCACTTAAGGAGTAGTATTTGTGATTTCATGTGTTATTGCTGTGTCAAGCCAATATACCCGGGGGAGCGTTGATATATAGGCCTTGAGATTTGGCTCTTTCCTTTCGATATTCCTACTTTGAAATAAATCAATGTGACAATTAGCGACGTTTAACTATGATTTATACTCACGGTCTTGTATACTGTACGTTCCTACGTCGATTCTATTAGCGGAATTAGACTAATAGTCTATCGGTTGGGGATTATAGACTAAACTTGCAACGATTTAAATAATAATCCTGGTTTCGAAAGAATACTCGAGATTAAGGGCGAGTATAATCTCGGGAACACGCGGTCGGAGAATACTTTTTGTTTCTCAATAGCTCTGAGACTACACCGGGTTCATAACTATTGGTGGATATATCTAATGGTTTATCACCATCCTTATTATTTATTATTATCCACTTCCATCTAACTTAATAATAATAGTTTTTAAATCATTGTCCGCCGTTAATTTTTGTGATGCAATATTTTTAACCACTATTTCAGGATCCCGAATAGAAAACCAATCAAATCAGTTTTGACCACTAACACTGTCCCCTGGAACTTCAGACATGCCAGCTTCTTTAGAGACTTTTTTAAATAATAATAAAGTCAAGTTTCCTAATCTTATTCATTTTGTTAACCCTGTCTGCTATCTTTCTAATCTGCTTTAAAATCAATGAAACTTGGGAATCTATTAATTGTTTAGTAGCACTGAAACATTGTTTTTTGCTCCTAAGGCAGCTTTAAGTCAGAGGAAATAATTGTTTTTTCAGTAGGTGTGGGACCTTGATTTAAATGATGATTAATCTGTTCCAATTCATTTTCTTCTCCTGGAGTCAAACTGAAACTATTCTTTGTTAATCTTTTATTTGGGTGAGATAAATTTTCTCATACTCTTCATGATTACTATTACTATTACTATTACTATGATATTCACCATCAGTTTTTCTAATCTTTCAGTGAAATTTGATAATAATAAGGCAAGAATAACTAACATCTAATCCAAAATACTTCTTAAATCCATTTTTTAAAAACCTCTTTTTTAGTTTAGCATTAATAAGGTTAAAGGTCTCCATGTGACTCGTTTATTTTAAATTTTCCATGGATAACTGTGCAATTCATCTTTTCTCTAATACTAAGCATCCACATGTTTCATTGTTTTTACAAACACAAAATAGTAATAGAAGGCATGACCAAAGCAGACAGAAAAAAGAAACAACAACAGAGAGCCCAAGAGAAGAAATAACTAGTGAGTTGAACAGGAAAAGTTCAATGCCCAGTCACTTGGTTCTATTCCAATGATCAACAAGGTAGATATTATCCCTTAAACTGTTAATAATAATAAGGAGATGGACACATTTTTGGTTGATGTAAATAAGAAAAGTATCAGTAAAAATATTAGGCAATGCAATAAGGAAAAGAAACTCCAGCATGAATCAGCTGACTGGGGTGGGACCTCTGATACTGTGCATTTATCAGAAACCATTAACAATATTAATATTGAGAAGTCAGTACTTTCCCAGAATTATCTCATGAAATATAAAACCTGTTACTATTACCAATGGTCACAGGTTTTCTGAAAATTTGAAATTATCACATGAGAGAGAAACCATTACCAATACTTCATCCACCTTCTGTCCAGAGATAGAGACAGAAAGACTGGAGGAAGAAGATTCTTCTGATAGATTACCAGATTCCAAAGAGATCCCATTGTAATTGACCATTATGACCAGACTTCCTCAAACATAACTACTGAATTTTGTACAAGATTTGTTGGAAGAGTTATTATATTCTGGTAACTGATTTCTGGAACATATAAAGTTTACTCCTCCCAGAACCCTAATTCCTGGATCAATAAGCATCAAAAACTTGCCAATTCATTCTGCAAAGCAAATGTTGCAAGGGGAAAAATGATCTCAGCAAAGCAGGCAGAAATAAAAGCTCAGTGTTTATTCTCTGAAAGGTTTGAAGATAAAGTTGTAGAGCTTAGGTCTAATGATAAGAACTTATGGATCAGACTGCAAAAAAGCAGATTTACAGTGACTCACAAAACCAATTCAATGTTTGGAAGAATTGAATGCATAGGCTTATATATATAATAATAACCCCACAACTATCCAACCAAAATAAATAAATTTGACTCAATATAGTCTTGCTTTCTGGCTTTTAACACAATTTTGTTTTATTGAAAAAGATTTAAACCTTTTGAGTTATGAATTTTTAAAGTTTATCAGTGCATTGAGCCAGTTTTGTAACTCATACTAAAAATTTGAAAAATAATATTTTGTATAGCCACCTTTGGCTTTTAGACTGTCTGGCATACTTTCAATTAAATTCATACATACTTGTGGTGAAATGTTATTCCACTCAGCCTCTATATGTTCCCATAACTCATACTAATACATACTAACAGGGTCAGTCTTATATGTGGCAAGCTGTTGTTTAAGGTATTGCCACAAATGCTCAATGAAATTTAGGTCTGGTGACTGTGCAGGCCAGTCCAGCACCTCAATATTATTGTCATTAAACCATTTTTGAGCAGCATGAGAGGTGTGTTTAGGATCATTATCCTGTGGAAATTGATTTTATCCACATCCATCTCATAGTACTCAAAGCTTTGAAGGAATTCATCCTCAAGAATGCATGTATAAAGTTCTGCATTCATATTCCCATCTATACAGCATGCATAACCAACCCCTTGAGCCATAATGCAACCCCAAATCATTAGACTCCCACCTCCAAATTTAACTGTCCCCTTGACATGCTGCTCCATCAGTGTACTACCAGGCTTTTTCCACACCCACTCACGTCCATCTGATCCTAGGCAGTTTATTTTAGTCTCATCAGACCAATAACATGCTTCCAGTCTTCCACTGTCCAGTTCATTGCAAAGTCAAGTCGTTGGCGGATGTGTCTCGGTAAAAGTCGTGGTTTCTTCTTTTTGTTGCTGCCTTTAACCCAGACTCTTTTAAGGCACGGCATACTGTCTGGGCACTGACTTCTATGTTGCTGACATCCCTTAGTATTAGTCACGGGTAAGTTGGACAGCATTATCAGCCTTGCCCAAAATTATCAGCGGCTTTAAGTATCGTCAGCCATCCACCATGATTTTTCTGTGTATCCGTTCTTAAATTTGCATGTAGTCTATCTACAGTAGCACACAGCTGACAGGACACTATTGTTACGGCTAGCTGATCGATAAGCAAGTCACATGGTAAAATCTTCCTCCGCAGTAAATAAACAACACCCCTTGACGATCAATTAGATGTTACTCAAAGCAAACGCGAGTAACGAAAATTTGGTGACAGTTTTGAACACAAAAAATGTATCTATGAATAGAAAATAACGCGTGGGAAAGATAGAAAATACGCGCTCAGTGGCGTAGAAAAAGTAACACGATTTTAGTAACAGCAAAATGTATATAAGAAGCCCGCCCCGACCGTCAAAAATCCTCATGTTATGTTATGTTGTTGTACGTTTAATGAAAAATAATAATATTCGATACTGAAGTATTCGGATATATAAACGATCGATCTGATCTTTATCCTTTAATTATTACGAAACATTTTTTACTTTCATTATTCTATTTCCATCGTCGTGAAAACTAAGCTTTTTGACTTAACTATCGGCAGTAGATCGGTAACGACCCGTAGGTGCAGTAAAGCAAGAGTATCTCGATTGATAATTTAAATTTTTTGTTGTTATAATTAAATAAGTGACATTCCTTGACTATTCAAAACACTAAATCGAAGTTCGCCCTTGTTTAAAATTAGTATAAAAATGTTACGCGGTAGATAAATTGTTGTTGTTTATTTATCGTGGGTACCCTTATTTAGATACGAGTATAGGAGAAATACATCGTATAGGGAGTGAAAGCGAAGCACGCATATAAATATTTATTGTCACTCTTCAGTTTAGTTCAGCCTTAAGTGAGCAATCGTTGTAGTGAGGGCAGCGACAAGAGCTAAATTGTGAAAAATCCCTCTCGGCAGAACACACCTACGCAATTAATTGCTCTCCCAACCCTATTTTGGACGCCGACCGTAACACCGAAAGAACTTCACATTGTTGGTTATATTAATCAACAGGAGGTAGAAGATGCTGATGAAGAAGCAAGGAATTTCATGGTCCCTTAAAAGATGGTCTAAAAACAGCTCTAGCGGTCCACCGTGTGTCAATAAAGGACCACTAAATTAGAAGATGGTCTAGATGTGATACGGCGAAGTGGAAGTAAAGAAAATTTGGTTTACCCGGGGAGGGCTTCTATTATTTCTGAAGCACAACTGCATACAAAATTCAGCTAGTCCGATCAGTGCCCATGTCTAGAACAGGTTAGCTAATCTTTCTCACATAGTAATAGGGCTCAGCAAAAAGATCTTTCGACTCGATGATTTTATCAAGAGATCTCAGTTACAAACTCGGCAAAGGATGCCTAAAGGAATGGTTTCCATTCGATGACATTGATGCTCGTAATAGTGGTTATGTATCCTTGAATAGTTTACATAGTAATAGCTTTCTCTTGTTAAATTGATTCTGCTCGAGATAAACGGATGAGCCGACATGATTCATATTATGATAAAGTAAATTATCCAATTATTAAGTATGCATCGTGTTTATTGATTAATGACTTCACACGATTTATTATTTACTAGCAACGAGTTCGAAACATATTTCCTTTAAGATAATGCGCATAACAATGTTAAGATCTCATAGCCAATAAATGAATTGCACGCACAACTGACAGTAACTATTACTAATTATATTGTGGCGTGGCGTTATGACGTCTCTTATAGTCAAAATCTAACCCGATTAAAATATACACAACTTTTGTCTTTCATTCTGCGTCATGAATTCGTCATTGCCTTCGTTCTTTCTGAAACTATGTAATAACGATATGAATCTCATTGACTTCCCATATACTAATACGAGATGGCCTCGATTAGATTCTTGCAGAGATTCAAGACTTTTCCGCGCCTCGATAGGCGAGGAGCCTATGCCCTTCTTGCCGGTTTCGTCGGCGGAGCTGCAGGCGTGAGTAAAAACAACTGATTCTCATCATTATCGCTAATGTCGGCTCTTTCTAACTGACAAACAATACATTCCAATCTAGGGAACCTTTCTCAAATTGAAGAAACTCGAAGATGCAAAGGAGCATATCGTTGCTTATGCCGAAGGGCGAGAGCAATTGTCGCGTAAAGCATCGATTTTAGACAAAGGTGCAGAATTAGTGCAGAGCTTTAAACCAATCGATCAGATTCACCAACATCTGTGTGGTTTTCAGTTTTATTCACATGGTGAGTACCCAGACGTTAGAATTAAAGCATAGCGTAAGAGAGAATGTGTTGTTCCTTCTTCCCTTTTCCTCATGATAAATAACATGAT